ATCACTGCCTTGAAAGTCGATGAAAAATAAGCTTTAGTTTACTATAGGTAATAGGTGTTACCGACACTAAATTCGGACAATAGCCGGCGGTCGCCATATTTATGTGTTTGTTATCACGCGACCAAGTCCCCTATCTCACTCCTGATTTAACAAACCTCCGCCCCTCTGTTGAACAAACAATCGGCGGTGTAAGAGTTTTAACACCTCACCTAGATAATAGGGGCCATAACAATTCTTAACCAAAGACACATTACAAGCCATTCGATACGGTTCGGAAGGTTTGAGGAAATAGTTTATTGGACGCACGCGATAGAATGATCGTTTACTGCATATCAAGGAAACGGAACGAACGAATATGGTAAACAAACATTTTGGAATACCTTCAATAAAGGAAACTTTAAAAATGGTGATATAACCTTTTTATTTTCTAAAGTCAGTTCATGTTATTTTGATATCAACATATTTTTATACAAGTCGTTTTCCGTCTGTCTGTCCTAATGTATGTTAAGATTTTAAAAACTACGCAACGGATTTTGATGAGGTGTTTTTAATAGATAGGGTGATTCAAAAGGGAAGTTTTTATGTATGATAGGATCACGTAGACCGAAGCTGACGGTGAAGTTTTTTAAAAAATACTGTTGGTTAATCTAGTCTAACAAAAAAATACAATTGACTGTGGATTAAAAAAACTATTAATCAGTTCTGAACTGATTAAAAGACGAATATGAATAAAGACACGGCTGTAGAATTAAACAAAAACAGATCAAGAGGTCATCCAACTAAGAATAAAGTCATTTTTCGAACATCTATGTATATTCTATTTAAACGAACATTAACAAATAATGAACAGACATCGGGCATCCAAACTTGAACTTTGTATCCTATAGTTAACAAAACAAACAACTATTCACACATCGGTGACGTACAACCACTTAATAACAATTAGGTTGAACGTTTCAAAATTTAAAAAAGACAGTAGGTTTTCCCAACGTCTAAACACTGAGCAAAACTACTAAAAATACTAAATGATTTAATGCGATGTCAAAATTATACCATAATAACTCTCAATCATGCGCTAATATAATCACAAACAAAAAATGGCTAAACGCGGATTTGACATGTGTATGTACGTGATACGGAATTCGGTGTGACAATATTTATCTGTCTGGAACCATAAATGTGTAATATATATTATCAACAATAATCTTTTTAATAATCTAAATGGAGAAATAGAAAATGTTATTATCCGAAAACATTCTAGTTTCAGTCCTATTATCAGAACGGCCTCAATTATTATAAAAAAAAATACCAAACCATAGCACCACAGCATTGAAATCGGTAAGCACTGATCTAAACTCGAGACAATAAAACTTTGGGGTACGCACGACCAGTGAAATCCTATTAAAACCTCCATGGTGGTCACAATTTATTGACGGGTTGATCGCTACAAGAGATGGTATGTAATGACGACATGATTGTCGACAGAAGACAAGAGAAACAAGTAAAAATACGACCGTGATAAATGAACGGGCAATAACGCACGGACTTTTAGCTGATCAAAGCCGAGTAATAAAGTCCTTACCAACTGAAAATTATGTATTGGTTTTCTATTGCATATTTGAAAAAAGAACTGAACTGATCTGTATCTGACCTTTTTTTAAATATTTGAAGACACGAAACTTTTTCAAGTCAACTTCAAGTCAAAAAATTTAAACATTTTTTGACTTGAAGACAAAAAATGTTTATTTTTTTATCATTATTATGTTTTCACACAATGTCTCTCAGCTTATGTTAAAGTAAATAAATCAATAAACAATTTTAATAAATCCTCGCGTTAAAAGAGATCTAAAAATGAATATGAGATAGGGAAACGTTTCTCAACTAATGGCGACATAATGAAGGGTCAAAGGTGTAGAATGTGCATACATCAATTAAACGAAAAGATGAAACTGAGCTTTAAAAATGTTAATCAAGGTTACGTAGCAAAACTATACGAATCTTATATTAGTAAGGAGCATAGAATACAGCTATGGTACAGCTGACTAATCAAGGATCTGAATTATATATATACTAATATTATAAAGAGGGAAAATTTCTAACTTTGTAGGGGGTAGTCTTCGGAAATACTGATCCGATCTGAAAAATTATTTACCTACATTACACAAGAGCGACATAGGCTATAATTCACGCTGGCGAAGTCACGAAAAACACAGCTAAGAATTCGTAAAATCGGATCGAAACAATAGGGATGATGACTAATTTTTGTTTGTTTGTCCGTCAGGTAGAGTGTTAAAAAATATTGAACACGTATTTTTTTATTTTTTTCATAATCATAAAATTAAGGCGTTACATTGAGTTGAAATTTCGCATGACGTCACGTTAGAGTACGTTTTCTACTCAACTGTGACGTAGCGAGCCCCCACTCCTCAACTTTAATGCCTGTTATATAAGCTATTTCTTGTTAAATTGAAGTAAAAAAAATACGTATCTAATATTTTTCTATTATCTGACTGACGGACTAAATAGAATTGCATTTTTTTTACCCAGTCATCATCCCTATTCTAGAATCTAACTGTTTTCCCGCGACTTTGCCCGCGCAACATTATAGGCTATGTCACCTGCTTATGATGACGGTGAAATAATTTTCATTATCAAATCAGTATTACCTAAGACTACCCCCCTACAAAGTTAGAAACATTAACCTCTTTATAATATTAGTATACATATAATTCAGATCCTTGGTAATAATATTTTTTATAATCGGTCCAGTAGATTCGGAGCCTATTCAATAGAAACAAAGAAATCTTTTCTATTTTTATTATAAATTAATAAAAAAAACCTGAAAACAAATACTAGGATAGTTCAGACATTTCACTGTAGATCCTTCAAGGCGAGACATGTTCAAATTAGTTCTTCTCCGTAAACAATTTAGTACCAAGAATGCTCGTACGGGTGGCACATTTGTTTAAAGTAGGGTCACCAGATCTTTAGATATCTAATGAAAATATACGTACACTATAAAAATAATTTCTGATGAAAAATTTACTATGACACCACAATAACAAATTTATGTTAAATTGATTTTATTTATAGATTCGACCTCTCAGGATAAGGTGACAATTCTTTGTGTTCGAACTTATAACGATATAATATAAATGAACTTATAAAAAATAAATAATAAAAAAAGTATTTGAATAATTATCAATTTTGAAAAACAATCAAGTGAAACTCCTTTTGATATATAAATCATTGGCGACTTTTTACCACAAAAAACCATTTAATTACGCTTTGTCCAAGTGTAGAAATAGGAACCTAGTTATATAATCGCACTTAATTACATAATATCCGGTCGTATCAGATACTATATGCACCCCCGCGTAAACTAAACTGACAAATGCGAGACTCCGCCGATAACAGGTGCGATGCCGCTCAGAAACGCCGAAGGTTATTTACGGCTCGGACGCGCGACGATGGCCCTTACCGTACAACAAAAGGTCGGACAAATGACCGAGATAATCATAAACACACACCTATACTTCACGTAGTACTCGCACGAACATTAACTTAACATCTGAAGGCCTCTTCTATTTTTCCTATAGTGAAATTTAGTCTATTTTCGGAATGATAAGACCACTCGAAAGAAATGCATTTTTCGATAATTTATAATTTACTGTTACTGTATAGATAAATAAAATGAACCAAACTCGATAAGGTTACGGTGTTTAGTTGCAAATTTCCCATTGCCACCTTCCAGTGTCATCATCAGTCCCTGGACATTATCAAAACTAATCAAACGAACTCATACTCGATGTCATCCAACTTAAATGTGTATGTGTATAACGAAAACCAGAAAATGGGTCAAATATAGCTTGCAAGATCAACGTAAAAATATCAACTGATTTTTTAAACCTTCTATTACGGTATACACTTTAAAAACTTTTAAGTAAAACTCAATTCAAAACATGTACATACAGATGTCATAAACTAATATTAAATTCAATATTGATTTCAAGAGCTGTTTACGTTCCGATTTTATAGTGTCACAATTTATGACTTAATAAAGTATGCGCCTGTTTTAGTTGCAGGGACAACTGTTACACGCGAAGCGACACGCACCGGGCAGCGACAAATGCCTTTCAAATTCCGAGAGCATCGTGCGTGGGCGCAGACGCCGCCGAACAAACGCTGGATGCGACCGAGTTCAATTGAATCCGAAAGTACTAGAGAACTACTCCATTAGAAATAAAGAAACCGTAGCTACGGGCTGTTAGACGAACACTGCCGCATACAATAGCAGTCACGTTGAAATGTAGTAAGCTAGGAACGTATTGTAGAATGAAATCTCCAAAGTCGTGCTCGGTTTTATTGACTAAAGCTTTAGTTTCACAGTGGTACTATGCTAGCAAAGCGCCGCCGAGGCCTCGGGCGCACAACCTCCCACGCGGTGCGTCAAGATTTATAACATTACCCATATTCGGTCTACGAACGGCGCCAATTCGACGGTTCAAATTAAAATCCGCCGTAAATGCAAAACGATAACACTGGAACACTCTGATAGATAGCTGCGTTGTTTTTGATTTACGCAGGACGCCATTTAAGGGTGTAAACTTGAAAATGATCTCGCCGCCAAATTAAGATGCGATGTTACACATAAAATTTCAACATCAAACTATAGCATATTACTTTTTCTCTAAACAAAGTTAAATTATATAGTTACGGACTTTTATGTCAACATTTTAGCTGTCATGTTCAAACTGGTATACCAACGCATAACAAAACCGTGTTTAAATATAGAAGCCGGTAGAAATATTAACATCAAAAACTGTAATATGAATTGAGAGGAAACCACAATACAATTTAGAACCAAACTAAAGTAATGAAGACTATAAAATAAACAAAGCTTAAGAGTCTCTTGTTGCGAATGTATCTCTGCATAATATGAACTACATCTTTACTCCATATCCATTGAAAAGTAGGCAGATAGTATGATATATACTCACTCTTGTACTATTTCTTCTGGAGGTATTATGCGACCCGGCATATATATCTTCTTATGAAGAACACCAGCCTTCCGGAATTCCTAAAAAAAGGAAATCTTTAAAAAATTTATGACGTCCTGAAAATTTGGAGTTAGATTATTGATAACCTTAAATTGAGCTACTATTCAAACTTTCTGAAATATTAGTGTTACTTGAAAAAAAAAGGAAATTTTATTTTGCAATTGAATCAAAAGTCACATAGTACACATTGAACCTCTTAATTACAATTCACCTCATTTAATCACAACGCTTACGAAAGAAGGTGACGAATGACGTAACAACGGGAATAATTAATTTAATTTTAACAACTAAATCATAACCAGTTTCAAACGATGACTTTATAATCGAATGTATTTGAGATTATGATTACTAGAGCATGAAAGAGATGACACGGAACATAATAATTGAGCGGCAATGCGCTAGTAATCCCAGAGGTGACGACAACTAAGCTGTAAGATAATGTTTGATAAGTGACGAAACGTTAAATCAGATTAATATGGATCAATGTGTGGAACATCCATTATGTAACTTATAATAACTTTCCTTTTCGAGGGTACTTTTGTGCATTCTAATATTAAACGCATACGTAACATATGAAGGTATTTTTATCATTGCATGCATTAAAGCTCAACTTAAAAGATGAACATGCCAATTCTACTTTTGTAATGAAAGCCCAGTATATTCCTATTTTTTTTTCTTAATTGACCTTACTTTATCTTAAAATTAACTATGCATAAAAGCGGTACAGATTATGTACACACACCGGGTTACCACAATATGTCAAATAATTCAACAATTTTTTCCCACTTCATTTTAAACTCTACCCCAAAGCATTAACTGTTAAAAACAAGTGGAGAAATTTGACATATTTGTGCCTAATATTAGTTCATAATTTGACAAATTTGACACATTATAACCTGACGTGCTGTTGGCTATACATTGGATAATTTAAAGTCCCTTGGATAACTTTGACAAATCACATTAATCTCATAGACTGAAAAATAAAATGATTATGAACCAGAGTACGGAGAACATAAAAGCAGTACAACTATCACTGAAAGAAAACAAACAAGTTTTCAAGACGATTACGAAAGTAGGGTGTGTATTAATGAAAATATTTCAAGCCGACAAACGTCAACATAATTAGGTATAACAAGCGCAATGCTAGTTGACATACGATGACAGGCGGCCAGACGCCAACTTGCTGTCACCGTGGTCACACCACGACAGGTGTTGACGTAATTACGAAAGCAAACGTCACGGGCCAGGTTACTTATTTAAATTTTTGCGGCACTGCTTTTAATTATTGCATACAATCTTTAACAGTTGTACTCGTAATACTAACGGAAATCACATCAAAACTGACTGAAGTTGAAACTTTACGTTTAAGCACAATTGAATTTGCGACATAGCAAAACTAACATTACATTAAGTACGAAACAAACTTCGTCATTTGTCTGTGCTTCTGTATAATAAGCTTTACAGCAAACAATACACCATTATTAATTTTTGTTAAACATCAATAAATGTTCACTGGTAATAAACTGAGCTAAACGGATTTAGTCTTAGGAATGTGGTATTTAAATAACGCAAAGATGTTAAACAAGCAATAAATATGTTGTATGTGCAGACATTACTCCCAACAAAAGATGGTCATAATAAATGGCAACGACACGACTGCAGTTCAGCAAAGTCAGGAACCGTGTTAATATGACTTGAAGAATGACTGACAGATAGTAATCCAGGGAATTACCATATTACGAATAATTCAAAAGTCGTAAATTGGAAGAATGTGCAAACTATCAGTTTTAAAGACTTTGACTAAGATATGCGTGAAGTGGCACTGCAAGTAAATTCTACTACCGTAGACACAGTATTGTGAACGTAAATGGCATGACATCCATCCAAGTTGACGATGTTAAAATTACCAAAGAAAACTAAAGTGTCAGTCATACCGAGAGTTAAGAAGAGTTATTCAGCAGAAAGGATAGATTTTAAAATCTCTAACCTTGGCAAAATTCTTATTCGATTATTAAAGCTGTTATAGTGACTCGTGTGTTTCAAACATTAACAGTGAATAAAGATTATTTTATTAAAATTTCAAGTTGGTATACTCTTCTTATATTATTATTGACTGATAAATGAATAACAAGTAGCCAGAAGAAAATAACAACATGATAACGCCGAAATTGGCTTAAAAGTATCATCTTGTAGCTTAAGCCCCACCATGACACAGTCAGCCGCCCATGAAAATGCGGGTTTACGATCAGATTATGCCGCAAGATGAATGCAAGGCAATCAGACATCGCTATGAACAAAGCATCGTAGTGGAAAATGTGACTTTCAATTGTAAAACTGAACATAACTTTAATACTTCCAGGTACTCTAGCATAGTGTGGGCCAGTAATCCTATGGTACCAATGTACGATCCTTTGACAGTTAAAACGAATCCTGTACACAGGCAAGTTAATAATTAATATAAACATGCAAGAACAACGAAAATAGTAATAGATAAGAAAAGAAAATATATCTGAATACCTAAAAACCGGCAGAGTAAATCAAACCCGCGTGAAGTAGGTTCCATACAAATATTAAAAACAATAGGTTTTCCTGTTATATATTGGTAAAAAGTATCTACTGTATATATTTTTTTAAAATCTTTAATAACTTCCAAACTTTCATAAATTCTTTCATTTGATGTGTTACAAAATAAAGTATACGAAACTTTTTTTTATTTACTCAAAAGAGGCCTCCATACTAGAAATCTCATTTATTTATTTACATTGCCCGACCGCCTTTGGTCGCCAACTTACATTACATCACAACTCAATCGATCCAGTAGTTTCGGAGAAAATCTGTTGTTTCAGACGGGAAGACAACCAAGCGATCTTGCCACTAATACAGTGGAGAATCTTAAAACTATAATTCTATTAAATAGAAAGCTCATTCCTTGAGAACACTAATTTGTAAAACTGTTAAAGATCGTATGCTCATTATAGTACAAATTATAGAAAGCAAATTTTGGCAAGTTGCCGGGAAAAATGGCATTTCTATACGATAACTCACATAGGATTGATTAGTCTGCCAAGTTGATTCGAACTAAAATTATCTCAAGCTACTTCATGTTCAGTAAATGAGTTTAGATGTTTTCCCATGTCCATTTCCAACATACAAATAGGTAATACATCCCATACTAGGGTGAAATCAAATACCAGCCGTAGCTATACTAATGGGTTTCGTATTAGCTATTCTAGCCTACCAAATTATACGAGTACTACTAGTAAAAGCTTTGCTGATACAAGTTACTCACCGACGGATTGTAATATCTATTTGTATTAGTCAAGTCGATAACGGCGCTCAAATTCGGTATTGTTTCCAGAAGAGTACTGATATCCCATCTGCAAGAAAATGAAACCAAAGTTCATTACATAATAAATTTTAAGTTCTTTTACCATAAGAACAATTCTTTAAACGTATAATTTAAGCCTTATAAAATTTCAATGGCTACAGAGAAAGGGTCAGGCGGGGTCACTGGTGTAAAACTGTCAGTTTTTCAATTTACAAAATGTCCATTTACCCAATATCAATTTTATCGTGTTTAATTTTTTCTTTACCGCGAATGAAGCATAAGATATGCGTGAAATTGATTCTTACTTTACAATTGCCGCTAATGTAATGTGTAATTCATGTGACCATAATATTCTATGTGATAACACACTTAACAAAACAAATTCACGACTAAAATCGGGTTATATATGATACCGATAAAATGAAGGTAAAAATACAAATTAATATCCTTAAAATTAAATAAAACGAATGGCATGCGAATAAAATTATTTGATTATTGCATCTTACTGATACTTACATTTCATCAAACCCCTTCTGTACCGTCTGTAACAAAGAAAAATATAATGATACTGAAAATTATTTCAACAACTTTAAAAACCAAATTAACAAAAGAGGAAAAGGAATAAGCCTCATTGAGGCATGTCAAAATTTCTCAGCCATTAGCACACGGCTGCGTGGTCAGAGACAATACCTCTTTGAGAGTGCCGGGAGGCGACCATTCTGATAAGGGCGCATATCCATCATCACCAACCCTACCTGACCGGTGTCAACGACCTGCCCTCTGCCACCTGACAGAATCAAGTTTTGGACACTCTACGACGCACTTCGAATTAGGTTCCACGTCAATTCAAACATTTTGATAGTGGCTAGCGATTTTTAACTGACTGATTTTTAACTAAATGACGAAAAAACTAAAACTGCACACGTCCACCGAACTACATAAATCTCAAAAAATCCATTTCAAATATACCGCAGGGCAAATTTTTGGATCCAAAATTTTCAATTTCGCTTAAAATTACGTTAAATAAAATGTCAGGACCTATAATAATAGGTTGTTAGATTGCTCATAATTTATCGGCGGTGTTGACATGACGTAAAAGTGCATTGGGCAAAAAAAATATTGAAGCACACAGGAGGTGTGTCCTAAATGGGGTTAATTTTCAATTTGGAGCCGCTGGTGGCCTTTATAAATAAACGGGGACCAATTTAAATAAATTCACGTTGTATAATATGATACTGAGAAATGTGCATAAATATTGGACATTGCCACTTGATCACGATATTTATTAACTTATATGATCGATTAAAATTAATTGACGACATGAGAGAGTAGCCGATAAATTTTTCGGATGTCTCTGTCGTTGCAGTACTGAGAAACCATTCCGAAATTAAATAATTGATGTACAACTTACTGACAATCGCAATGTAGAACATATAAATTTGAGATACTTGATTCATAAATATCCTACCACTCTGAGAAACAATTTATATGATGTAAGTTACTCGTATTTAAGGAAGCAATTTTTATAAAAATGAATGTTTCAGGCCACATAAATAGAAAAAATGAAAGCGTTCAGGCAACTTTGCATTACATAAGTAATACATATTTAAAGTGCTGTAGGTATAACGCGAGTGCAATAACATCACGGCCTGCCCATGATATCTCAGACAATAACATAAAATCCATGAAGATGGAAATATAGCTCATAAATAGAATTAGATTATTAATATATATGTATCATATTTAATTCATACATATTTACATATAAATCCCGAGATCATAAAAGAGTTTGTTATGCAAATTAATAATACGAAAAGGTCGCAACTTATTAAATACCATTTAGAATCGCGTTTCCTTACAAAAGTAAGATTTTTAAAATCACAGATTTCTTCATAAGTTGTCCTATATTATACAAGTAAAAGATTATTGTCTTTAATTTTTCACAATTTTAGAGCTATTTTATTTGTATAATAACTTTTTATTTATTTTTTTCTTCTTTATCCCCAAAAGAGACGCCATGTTTAAATTACATTTATTTACATCACTCGGCCGTGTTTGGGCCAACGACTTTTGCCCATGTTTAATACAACTCTAAACTAGCTAGACATTTCGGAGTACATCAGTTATAAACGGATTGACGGGTAGACAGACACACGAGTTACCGTTTAAGGTTTCATTATTTTCCCTGTTAAAGCACGGAACACAAAAAATTATGTTTTAATCTTACCACATGCGTACCAATCAATGACCTTGTCTAGCGGATCTCGTTGCACACAGCTACGCCTTTTTTTAGAAATTATTGTCAATTTATACTTGACGAAGCAAAATATTAATCAAGATATATATTCATAAATTGACTTCCCAAACCCTTTTCATGTCTTCTTCACCCTATGTCTTCCAAAGACATAAATACTCTTTTAAAATAATTCTTGCAAGAAGAGTATCGATAAATTATATAAGATCGGCTCGCGTAATAAATAGCTAATAGTGGTGTATGCCCTCTGCGCTAATAGGCAGGACACGTGAATGTATTCCTAGGGCGGCGAATAGCTCGCTTGCGGCGACAATAAATTGATGATACTCAAATCCAATTCGCAATGATTTTATTCGCGAACCGGCGCTATTTATTAGATGTATGAATTTCAGTCGCACATCAACGATAATTTTGAGGTCAGCTTATTTCAGATGAAATTTAGTTCTATTATGGTTTTTGGATACACACTTTTAGAAGTTTAGAATATCATATACAATTAATAACTATTTATTTCAGGTATATTAGCGTTTTTGAAGATCCAACCGCAACGATATCTTCAAATACATTATAATTGTTAAAACTAAATAATTATGACGATGTAGACATCAAAACCCAGGAAATAAAGATAGAAATACCACTCAACTAATCTACATAGCTGTACAATGTTATAAAAAGTTAATATTATTTACATTTCGGGACAATATCTATAAACAAAGAGATTGTATGAAATAATATATGAAAACTTAGTCAGGTGTTTAATGAAAATAACATTTCAGAAAACCATTCGATCTCATCGTATCCACTTACCGCGACTTTCAATTAACTTCAAGGCACCGGAACAAATAAAACGTTGCCAGGACAAAGGAATTTATTGGAACCGCGAATATCGCTGTAAAAAGTGCGGTGGCTAACAAAGTCGACTCAGACGTAAATAACATATTGAAAAAAAAATCGTTCATTTAAACAAGATTACACAAGTTTATATTTATTGCGTGGATATCAAAAACCGCTGGGATTTGTCCGAAGTGAGACATTTACTAACTTCCCTGATTTACAAAAAATGGCGTCAATTTCTCTGCACACGCCGCTTGACAATATTCAACTGCAATATAATTCAGTGCATGGGTGGCCAAGCAGTCGATCGTGGCAATTCAAAAAATATTAATACATAGTGTACGAATAATGCTGTTTCATTTAAGATTTTAAGTAGTAAAGTAATTGGTAGATCGTACTGGGAGTTGTCAGTGAAAAGTCGATCTTGGGTCTAAACAAGTTCGCCACCCCTGATTTAGTGTAGAAGGCAACTAACCATATTAGTCTTAATCGGTAATGTTGGTCAAGTCTACAGTCTGATTTCATTTTTTTCTTTAAAGTCTGTATTGTGATACTTTTTCTGAAAGTAAGATCTAGATCATTCAGTTAACGTGGGACTATAAATTGAGTTGTTCTATCGCCATAAATATTGTTTGCGGTTCTTATAGTTATAAGCTTTTGGTTTACTATGTGTTGCGTATTAATTGTATGATCAATTATGTGTTGTATTTGCATCTTAAAGAAAATTTTCTTTTAATACATTGTATCGAAATTTATATACTACCGGTAATACATTACAGTGTATAATAAGTTTTAAATGTCCTGTCATAACTAGAAATACCATATTTAATAATCAAGCCGGCCAATACATTATTTAACATGAGTAATGCTTGCTCACAACCCAAGTGAAACATTTGAGATATATAAATAAAACAATGATATAAATAAACTATACACTATTAGCTATACAATACTTTAAATATTTCCGGAGGCCGAAAACACTGATGTCAAACCATCTTTAGTTGAGAACGCAGTACATAAACAACTTAAAAAAGAAACAAACATCGCAGATGTGATTACAAATTGCCGTTCTATAATAGTAATTTAAGAATCAGACCTACTATTTAATACCACACGGGTATCATAATAAAACTTATTCGATGATACTCGATCATAAATCGTGACCATTGCAACATTAATGAAAATAATATTTTTTAATCAGAGGAAAAATCAACGGACATTGATACATGCGCACGCACTACACCAATGACACGGTTAAACAGAAAAATACACATGTAACTTAAAACATAAACCTAACTATGTGAAATAAAAAAAGAACTTTCATAAACGCTTGACAACAGACTAGGTTGAATAAAATAAGCTTGCTTCTCTTGCTGTTTATTACATTAACTGCTGTACCTTTTAAAAATACTAAATAGAAATAAAAAACATCATTTTCATCTATTGAATCATAAGAAACTAACTATAGTGAAAATGTTCTAACCTTCACGCGTATAGAGCAATTCGATAATAAAATAATCAACAAGATGCCTAAATAAATCTTCAGATTGCCTGCTGACAAAATCCATACAAGACGACATGAGCATGCATTATTTACATGTATCGTACACGACAATAAAAGCGAATTTGTCATTTTTACGACATACCATGCATACATTTGCAAACAGTGAAGTATTGGGAGAAATCCCCACCTGCAGAGATACAACGACTAAAACCAGTCCAACTGCAAGTAAGATGTAAATAATTTAACATTTAACGTAAAGACGACATGAGAATCACTTACGGTGACATATCGAAACAAAACTTCCACAAATACCATAATGTCAAACGAAACTTCAATTGACGTTGGATGCAAATATATGTTCAGCTAAGGACCTCCCATCAAATTACACGTGTTAAGCTCCTGACTTATCGCACGATCGCGTGTCGGCAAAACGAATAACACCTTCGCACGACTCGATCATATTTGACAAATGCGAGGACCAATACAACAAAGACCTCTCGTTTACTATTCAACGAGAGCCAACTTATTGAAGAAGAAAATAAGGATTCAATTACAATAACAACTTCAATTACTATTGTAGATCGTCTTTAGATAGAGATTATTAAAACGATGGTGCAATATTAACGGTACCAAATCACTTCAAGGACACTAAAGTATTAATATTGGTATTAAAAAAGAGATTACTCATATCCCCCAAAAATGCCTAAGAAATGCTATTTAGAAATCCACTCGAACTTAGTTGAGGACAGAAACAAATTTCAACTTTACGATATAGATGTCAATACAATGAATTTGAAACAAAACTGAATTTTGTCAGTCAGTGACTCACCGTTATGTCGAAGTATTAAATTTCAATTTAAGCAATGTTTAGGGCACGTAATCTGAACAAGGGCGATAGAATTTATGGGAATACAAGAATATGCTTGTGTCTATTCTTACACGACATTATTTTACAAACTTTCTCT